CTAAACCCTAAACCCTAAATCCATGTGTGGAGACGAAGGGCAGAAGGGGGGGCACAGCTGGCCGACGAGGTTTAGGGATCATGCAGGGATGAAAGCTTTCAGGGAATGGGGTTTAGGGTTTAGGGTTTAATTCGAAGCCCTTTACATAACGGTTTCCAACGTTGAGTGGCTGCTAGAGCCCCACATGCCCAATCGCCCCTCACGCGAACTCTTGTGGTCCTTTCAGAGGCTTCGGGCTCTGGGGCCGTGAACTAAAACTTAACCCTAAACCCTAAACCCTAAAACTTAACCCTAGACCCTAAACCCTAAACCCTAAACCCATACTGAAAATTGGGGGCGGGGGTGCCGTAACCCGGGGTCGGTCTTTACTCAAGATCCTAGTAGTACCCTACCCAGAGACTCCAATACCCCTCAATTAAGGAATAGACCTTAGGGTTCCTGAAGGGGCTCCTTTAAGGGATCTATAGGGATCTATAAGGTTTAGGGTAAGGAATATACCTTAAATCTTAGTAGGGATCCTACTATAGTGTAAGGTATATTCCTTAATTAGGGGGTGTTGGAGTCTCTGGGTACTGTCTAGGGTCTAGAGTCTGTACTGGGTTTAGGCTTTAGGGTCCAGAGTCGTACTGGGAGTCCTTGTGAAAATTAATACATATCCCCAAACTCGAAATCATTACGCTTGTACCTTCCCGGTTGAGTGTTGCAGCCTTAGGGCTCAAAGTTGAGAGCTCGGGGCCTGAATCCTAAACTATAGAGCCCTCAAGATTAGGGTTTAGGGCCTTTTAGGGTTTTGGGTTTAGGGTCTTTTGGGGGGTTTAGGGTTTAGGATACGATAGACCCTAAACCCTAAACCCTAAACCTTAAACCCTAAACCTTAAACCCTAGAGCCCTAAACCCTAAACCCTAAACCCTAGAGCGCTAAACCCTAAACCCTCAACCCTAAACCTCAACCCAAAAACAGGCGCAGCTCCAGGCTTCCAAGCTCAGACCTTGACTCCCAAGAATCCTTTAAAAGGGATCCTTAAAGGGTTCTATAAGGGCTTCTATAAGGGTTTAGGGTTTAGGGGCCTTAATAATTAGAATAGGGTTTGTGGGGTATAGTATCCTTTCGGGCTCTCAGGTTCTGTTTGGGGTTTCTGGTTTAGGGTCTTCCTGCTTTCGGAGAAAAACAAACGTAAGGTAGGAGCCGTAATAACTTAATAATCAGAATAGGGCTTTGGGGCATCATTATACTATAATTATAGTAAGGAACCCCCCCAAAAATAATATAGGTAATTAGCTAGGCCCCTACATCACGGACCAGACGACGTACTGATGTCAGAAACCCGTGGCCTGTCATTGTTGGTCAGCTGCCAGTTCGGGTGCGAAAATTCGAAGCACTTCCTTGGAAAGGGTCGGCTTGGGAATCCGTGCACCCTAAGGCAAAAAGACATCATCATGAGCGTCGTTCGGCCTTGGCTAGCCACGGAGTGGCCCACCAGGAGCACACCATCAGCATCGTTTGGCTTTGGCTGGAAAACATGCCACCGGCCCACCAGGCGCGCATCATGAGCATCATTTGGCCTTGGCTGGCCATGGACTGGCATCATCAGCATGATTTGGCTTTGGCTTGGCCTCGGAGCCGGGCATGCGGCAGGCAACGGCCCACGAGGTGCGCATCATGAGTATCATTCGGCCTTGCCAGGCGCGCATCATCCAGGCGATCATTTGGCTCTGGCTTATGCAGCAAGAGCATCATGCGGCCTTGGCTGGCCCACCAGCACAGCATCATCAGCATCATTTGGCTTTTTTTGCCTCGGAGCCACCAAACGCAGGCCTTGGCTGGCCCCTGAGTGGCCCACAAGGCACGCGTCATCAGCAAAATTTGGCTTCGGCTTGCCTTGCAGCTCGACATGCAACGGCATCATTTGGCCATAATGGCCTGCCAGGCACGTATCATCAGCATCATTTGGCTTTGGCTTGGCTCGGAGCCGAGCATGCAACGGCCACTAGGCGTGCATTATGAACATCATTTAGGGCTTGGCTGGCCACAATGGCGCACCAAGCGCGCATCATCAGCATCATTTGGCTTTGGCTGGCTCGGAGCCGGGAACGCAACGGCCACCAGGCATGCATCATGAGCATCATTCGGCCATTAGCTTGTTCGGAGGCGCGCATCATCCAGGCGTGCATCATCTGCATCATTTGGCTTTGGCTTGCCTCGGAGCTAAACATGAAACGGCCCACCAGGCGCGTATCAAGAGCATCATTTGGCCTTGGCTGGCCACGGAATGGCCAATCAGGCGCGCATCATGAGCGTCATATGGCCTTGGCTGGCCACGGAATGGTCACCAGGCGCGCGTCAACGACTGGCCCACCAGGCGCGCATCATCAGCGTCATTTGGCTTCGGCTTGCCTCAAACCCGGCATGCAACGGGTCCCTGGCATGGTGAGCATCACTTAGCCTTGGTTTGCAGCGTGGTCGACAAAGGCACTTCAGCTATCTGTTTCGGCTTTTCAAAGAAAAATGACAAAGACTCTGGCCTGCTCAGAAACGGGACTACCTCGCAAGCTCGGTCGCCGTTCAGAAACCCACGAGACAGAGGATTCTGTCAGCCAGGCTAATTTTAAACCAAAACTCCTACGTCACAAGACCTACATCAGTCTGCAATGCCTGAACGACATAGTTGTCCGAGACCCTAAACCCTAAATCCCAAAACCAAAAAAAAACTAAACCCTAAACCCTCAACCCTAACGGCTAGCGCTCTTAGGGCATAGCAGCCGGCCAGACATTCTAGGGCTCGGTTTAGGATTTAGGGTTTAGGGTTTTTGTACCGTGGAGTAACTACAACACAAAGCCCAAGGGGCTTAAGAGAGTGGGGTTAGGGATAGGGAGGCATCAAGATGCAAAGACGCCACCTTCGTT